CGTCTCATCCTTTCTCTGGTTCTCCCTTTTCTCTGGTTCCTCTCTGCCTCTCAGGCAGCCCTCTAGCCTCTCCTGCCATAGTTAATCAGCTGTGTAAAGAGCTGTCAGGGCTAGGCTGATGGATGGCCCTTCCCTTGCCTGGCTCTTCCTCTGGCCTCTCCCTCCTCCCCTTCCCCAGCCCCCTTCTCCTCATCTCTCCCTCCACCACATATCTTATCATCAGGGAAGCACACCAAGATGAAAGGGACTTCTGGATAAGCCAGTGGAGGAGGTGGGTTGGGGGGATAAGGGGAGGGGACTGCAGGCCACTTCTGAAGGTAAGGACTGCCTGGGCTCCTGGGGGAGTGCTGTGTGAATGAGGGAGAACGCTCCTGAGATCAGCTTTCCTGATTCCCTGTCCTTCCTCACCCCTAACGGAGTGATGCCTGAGGTGGGTAGAGAGGCAGCGTGGCATGGAAAAAGGGCTGGGGACTTAAAACAGCCAGAACTGAGTTTGAATCTCAACTCTGACAGTTATCAGCTGCGTGACCGGTGTCTCTGTAAAGTACAGATAGTACTATCAAACCTCACAAAGCCTTGCACAAATTGTAAGCTCAATAATGTTGGTTCCTGTCCCCGCTGTCAGGGTGTTAGGCCACTCTGTGCCCCTGAAGTCTCTCCCCTACATCCTGGATTTAATCCCAAAGCTAACCCTTTCATAGAAGTCCCTGGGTGGCACAAATCGTTAAGTACTCCATCACTAACTGAAAGGTTGGTGATTCAAACTCACCCAGAGGCAACTTGGAAGAAAGGCCTGGCAATCTGCTTCTGAAAGGTCACAGCTTTGTAAACCCTATGGAACACAGTTCTACTCTGCACACATGGGGTCATGACTAACAGCAACAACAACACTTTCATCCATGCTCTTGATATACCAGGCACATTCATATCCATGATTTCATGTAATCCCCACTTTTACAATTAAGGAAACTGAAATTCAGGGAGGTTAATTATGGCAATGTGAGTAGAAGGCCAAGTCAGAACCAAGGACTCTGACTCCAGAGCCCCAGCCTTGAGAGTGCTGGAGGAGCTGGCTGCTGGGGAAGAAGCTGAAACAAGGTTTACTGAGAGATTCGACTGTGCAAGAGCTTCAGAAAGGGCAGGAGCAGCAGTCAGAGCCTCTGTCACTTCTGGGTGACTTATGGATTGAATTATGTCCCCCCAAAATATGTGTTGTAAATCCTAACCTCTATGCCTGTGGTAAACGGGGAAAAGATTGAAGATAAGGACTTCATTTTACTTGGATCCACAATCAACACCCATGGAAGCAGCAGTCAAGAAATCAAATGATACATTGCATTGGGCAAATCTGCTGCAAAAGACCTCT